ATCACAGAGAATAGGATGATATAATCTTTGAAGCTAAGTATTTCAAAAATCTTAATAATTTTTTGAATAAACATTTTATTTGAGTTATATATGATATAAGTAGCAGTGTTAAAGATTTAATGTTCCCAATGTTCCCTCCCAGGAACATTAAAAAATTTTAGGAACACTAGATTTAAAATTTATGTTCCTTTTTAGGAACAAAGCGGGAACATAAAAGTTATAATTTATGTTCCTATATATATATATATATATATATATATATAGAGGATGTATTTATTATTTAATAACTTATGTTCCCGAAGAACATCAAATCTTTTTCACTGATAAGTGGAACAGAATTTAGGCGGATTAAGATTCTTAGGATTAAGATATATACAGTAGATATATAAATAATCCCTCAAAATGATAATTTTATTAAGAAATTCCAATATCCACTTAAATTACTTAATTCCGCTCCACTTACAATTATATTAAAAAAGCTGTATATATTAGTTAAATGAAGAATTTACATGGATCAGCCCGATAAACAGTTATTTTCGGAACATTTTTGAAGCATTTGCGGACACCCACAAAAACCAGGGATCACTATTGCTCTATGCGTAATGTCCTTCGGACAATAATATATACCAGTATATGGTAACTAGTACTGTTTAATATCAAAAATCCCGATGGAGTAAAGTTACAAATTAATTGTTTATTAAATATAAATTTTATTATGTTTGATTATACTTATGTATCAGTAAATAACGTGGACGTTATTTTCACATGGGCGTCCTGAATTAACGCCATCCCAATGTATCATAATTTATTGTGATATACTGTCGACCCTCCATAAGTGCACCACTATAAGCGTACTTTCTCTACATAAATGCACATCTTTGATCGCCTAATGTAGTGATGGGCACCGCGCGTAATCAGCGAGTGATCAGCGCGGGATATATTATTTAATTCGGGCCGGATTCCGAAATACTCCGAGGTCGAGATAAAATTTTGACACATTTTCGTAAGATTCCGAAATATAAAAAAACAAATCCCGCGCGGGATTTTTAGAATAACAGTCGATTACCATCACTAGTCTAATGTAATTACACGTGGCTCTCATATAACAGAGGCCATGGTTCCAGTCTTTTACTCTTTTATAATATATTACGGATCTATCCGTTTAACATTGACGAATAAGGTCATCCGCATTTAATCAGAATTAGTCGGATTGCGGATCGATATCAGATATTATAGTAAATCACAATTTGGTTTCATTATAATACTTAAACAATATCCGCTATATCGATGGTCTTTTATATCAAGAGCCACGTGTATATTAGTGACGCAAAGGTAAAATAGGACTTCAATCATACAAATTATATGAATGAAGTCTTAGCGTCACTCATATGTAGACTATTATCCATATGTGCTCATTCTCTAAGTGAACTTTTCCAAGCATCGTAAATTGATGCAGTGTATAAAATCTATGTGCACAATTTGCTCATGAGCACATATTTTTAAAAGTTTTCACATGCTTTTAGCTAGAAATGTGCACGAAATACACAAGATTTCTAGCCATATAGTGCACAAATTTATTAATAAAATCTTAACTATGTGCACATGGAGCACATTGTGCACACGGTCTATTTTTATATATGTAAGTTAAATAGATATTTATATAAAATGTTTATAGTATTATAAAATTTATAGTGCACTAATTTTTAAAATTATTCACATAAATTAAGCATACAATGTGCTCATTGTGCACATGTTTTTGAGGTGAGATTTTATACACTGAAGTGATGTATTAAATTCAAAAAATCAATCTAGCGTACGTGGTTGTCTTGGGTTAACTAATCAACGTGCAGGTGAGTTATTTCCGCTTATACGGTAATTTAAATAAATGGCATGTAATTATCGTGTTTGAAATTAAACATTGTTGAAGTTTGCCAATTTTGACATGCTAGCTAAAATTAGTGAATTTAAACCTTCCTTGCACGCATGATTTAGTAATTTTAGGCAGTTTCACCATTGTTGAAATTTTTATACAGGAATGTTATTTTTTGTGCATACTGCACAGAAATTATTATTTATTGTGATATTGCACACAAATTAATAATTTTTGTGCAAAATTCAACACTGGTTTCAACTCAAGCAATGTAGCAACGTTCAATTTCAAGCATGACATGATCACCAAATTTTTCATCATTATAAACCGATCAGTTCATTATTATAATCACCAAAATTTATCATTATGAACAGATCAGTTCGTCGTTTTCATAAATATTTTCATCGATATAAACCGATCAGCAAAGGAACTGTGGATCTGCTATATTTCACCGATAATCATTTCACCGACAGTCCATATAACAGACATCAAATGTAATATAACGTAATAAATAGTTGTACCCCAAATATAAAGGGTATTGCACAATTGGTTGCGGTTAGATTTTATTTAAAGACATATTGCATATCTAGATCAGCGTAAATAAATGGCAAAAAAGTAATTGGTTGAAGGGTAGTTCTAATATGTAATTTTTTAAAATTTAGGGTACTTTATATGATGTACATATCAATTGGCTGTCTGATATTTAATAAATAATTATAATTTAAGGGATCTTTGATCAGATTGTTGCAGGTTTAATGGCCAAAAAAGAAAGCTCAATACTCAAAATTAGCCCGGACGTCAAATATACTAGAGCTAGAATATTGTAAAATATAAAATTTTTACATATAGATAACAACAATATAAATTCGTGTAACAAGAAAACTTATATAAGAAAAGTACGAGTAGAATAATTTCTGTAAATATATACAGTCGTCCTCCTTTACAGTCACCTCCTATATAGTTACACTCTCTTTATAAGCACCATTTTTTTGAAAAATTATTGGCAATTTATTTATTGAAAAAACTTTATATAATCACATTACTATTAAATTTATTTAATCACATCATTTTTATGTAAAACAAACCGCGTGATTATAAAGGAGGACGACTATAGAAACAAAAGTTTATAATGATACACTCAATTAAAAAATTTGGGTTTAGTCTTCTATCTACTCCCAAAATATTATCCGAAAAGAATGAAAAAAATCAATTACGGACTAAAATTATTAAATATTCTGGCAGACTCTTAACTGAACATGGAAATGAAATATGTCCTGGGTTTTTTAAAAAATCCTCTAAATCTTTCCAACATGCCGATGATCCAGATTGGATCGGGTATGGCGATATATCCATGTCTCCTTATGATACTGCTTGGGTCGCAATGATTCCTAGTAAAATTTATAAAGAATCAAGATTTTCGAAGGATTTCAGTTTAGCATTCCCTCAATGTTTCTTATGGCTTTTAAATAACCAAGATATGCATGGAAGTTGGGCTGGTAGTGGTGCTGCTGGCATAGTACCAGGACTTGCAGGTCTTCTTGCTCTAGGTCTTTTCCAGTCACATTCCGGCGAATTCTTTGAAACTAAATTGAATGATTTGGGAATAACTATTGTAAATATCATATATTGCATAAATGCATATATTTTTAACTTCATAATTAACATTTTCATATTAATAAATTTTATTCTTTTTTCCCTTTGAACAGGTGCAATTTATTGCAATTTTTGAGAAAGCCAAAAATTTTTTACAAAAAGCGTATGTATCATAGAATTAGGCGCACCTTATTTATGTAACTAGTCTCTGACTGGTCGATTATTTGCCTACCCGATTCCTTCTTATCGGTTTATGTCAGAGGTCAAAATCAAAAAAATATATTTTTTGATATTTCAAATGTCACCATTTAGCTGTTATTCGACATGATATTCAATAAGCAATCCAAACAAACATTCAACGTACCATCGAATATTGACAAGTGAACTGTTGCTTAAATAGATGTTAACAACTCTTTATCATCAAATGAAAAGAATTTTAAGTAATGACTAATAAAATTCTTTATTAGATTAAATGAATGGAAGCTTGACAACTTTGACATGATATGCTTCGAATTAATAATTCCTTACCACCTCTCAGCTTTAGCACAACTTAAAGAACCGGTTGTGTTTGATTTTCCCGAAAGAGAACGAATTTTACAAGAAGGTCAAAGAAAAATGAGTCTTGTCCCTTTGGACAAGATTATTATTCTAGCAAAAAGCCAACCAATAACCCTTACACATTCTATTGAAGTATTTAGCGAAGAAATGGACCTTTCACGAATTCAAAATAAAGACTTTCAAGCAATTAATGGTAGCTATGGATCTTCACCAGCTGCTACTGCCTCAGTGCTTTTACATGCCCAGAAATGGGATGATAAAGCATTTGAATTTTTGGAAAAGATAATTTCAAAATGTCCATCTTACGCAAAAGGTCATGGCCTTGTTCCTACTATATGTGATGTAGGATTATTTGAAACTATATGGATGATGCATTCTATTGCAGAATTATGCCTAAATATTCGTGCAAACAAGAAAATTAACCTCAAGCGCAAGCATATATTAACAAAAAAACTGTTATCCAAGAACCTTGCACTTATTAAATACTTATCAGCATTAAACAAAGAACATGGTGGAACTATTCGATGGACTAGTTGGGACAATAAAATACCGAAAGATGTAAATTGAATTTTAATACTATATCATTTTTATATTTCATATTTGACCACTATAATATAAGCAATTAATAATATTATAAATCTGGATAATTTTTAGGCTGACGATTCGAGTAAATATTTTTTGATTTTTTTTCTCTAAAATAATGTATTTATTAATAATATGAGTACATCCTTTACTTTCTCCTTAGCTGTGTGCAATTGGCTTATGAAGAAATTTGATTCTGATGGTGCGGTTGATATTGACATTATCGCAAAGGCTTTTTATAATGGAAAATATTTTATCACCTATCCCAATGGTATATATTTAGAACTATATGCACAATTATCGTTTATGTAATGACTATGTAATAGTGCAGTAGTAATTAATACGTATCAGTCCTTTAAATTGAAATTCACTGCAAATATGGTCATTTGATATATAAGGATAATGTTTTATGAACAATTGATATAATATTGCTACATCATCATTATTCTTAATTATCTCGCCACTATGTACGTAGTTATTAGAAGAACGTATAATTAAATATTCAGAATTTTATCTCTGTTATCATGAACTTATATTCACTCAAGACTTTATAATTATTCCAGAACGAACATTCTCGATGAGTTGTAATGTGCATGCCATCAATCTTTTTGTCTCAGAGTATCAAAGTTCAAGAAAAGTCGAGTTGGAAGAGATAATTGTGACTGCAACAAATTTCCTAATTTCACAACGAGAAAAAGATGGTATTTGGTTTGATAAATGGAATAAAAGCCCATCTTATGTAACTTTCAAAGCAAACAATTTGCTATTATCCTTACAAGAACACCCAAACATATGCACTAAGTTAGGATTCACAACAAATAAAGTACTTAGTGATTTTTGCAGAAAAACTGTCGATTGGGCATTAAATACACAACATGCTGATGGAAGTTGGGGTGAGCCATCAAATATAGGACCTGGAAACCTTGAAGAAACAAGTTATATTGTAAGGCTCCTAAAGACTGCTTCTAAGAATTGGTCAGATGATAAAGCGATTAAATTAGCATTATATAATGGTAGGAAATGCCTTATTGAGCATCTTGATGAATCAATGATGGATCACGGATATTTTTATACAAAGCAACCCTTTTTGTGGATTGGCAAACAATATTATACCGTTCCAAAAGTTATCAAATCATCTATTCTTGCATCCCTTTGGGATGATTAAAAAAAACTTCGCTTTTTTTTTATCTTTTCTCTTTATTAATTAATTTATTTAATTTTGGAACTTATATTTTACGTACCTGATATGTTTATCAATTATGTGATCATAAAATTTTTAATATATATTGGTCTTTATTTTTAGAAATATTTCATATATAATTAATTATTAATCAGGATTAGATAAATTAACTAATATTAATTTAAAATAAAATCATTATTAAATTTTATTTACTAATAAATGATAACCTTAATTTTTCATATCATAACAAACATTTGTTTCTTTCTCGAAGTACAATTGTTATATGAACAGACTATTTAAAATCATCTTCAGTAAAAGCGATTTTAACTCATTAGATAAATCAACAATATAATTTTCAACTAAACACTACACAGCGATATAAATTAAAATCTTTAAAACAGCTTGAATAATACTTTTATTAAATAGATATATTACAATTAATACTAGATATTGGTGTTTTAAGCTGGCTAGGGCAGCCATAGCTAAGTCAGATTAGCCATCATCACAGACTCTATATTTCGTGCAGTGATGTGCAATCACGCGCAAAAATTTCTTATAGGAAACATGAATAGGCTGTTACGTTAATATTCGAATTTAGCTCAAAGTCATGAACAATGTAAAGGGCGAATTTGGGGGTCATAAGTCTCTGTTATTAAAACAACATTTCTGGTGATTTAAAGCTGATAGTATTTAAATTTTTTTATTGTCCACTTCCTAGAATTCTAATCGATGAAAAGAAACTGATCAACTTACAGAATTTTAAGAAAATACATAACCAAATATAAATCATCAAATAATAAAAATTTAAGCCAACTGAACATAACATTGTGTTAATAAGTTTTTTTTTTTACAAAAGGAATACGAATAAATATTTAATAATTATTTGTTATTTCTTCGACATTTTTGTGAAGAAATAACCTCTTGCTAAATAAATTGATCAGAGTGTGCACTTATTGTTACACAAATATGGTAATCGTTTGAGCGAAGGTATTTCTTAATACATAATAAATATCACGAAATTCTTATTAAAAATACGTACTTTGATCTGTTTACATCTCTGCTAAAATTGAAAACAATATTTGATTGTTTGATAAATGATTTCTCATCAAAGCCTTAAGAATTATGCTATGTTGTACGATCAATTCCTAAAATATCCGCATAATTCTTACAATTTATATCAAATTTATATAAAGAATAACGTATTGTATCAGAAAATTAAGTAATAAACGTGTGAATTTAGTGATACGGGCGGGCCGGTCGATAAAAGAAGTGCTTGAATCGATTCTCATAACTGGCTAAAAAATTGGCTAAAAATCAACTAATCATTTATAAAAATGTAGACACTCATTAGTTGGCTAATTTAGGTGATAATTTAGCAAATAACTAATACGTAAAAGAAATGGAAATGGCTGGCATAGACAATTAATTAACATAAAATTTAACGCATTATAATTAAGTACAAAAAGAATAAAAACTAAATGATTTTAGTATACTAGAATTTATCAAGAAGTTACATGATGGCTTTCTACACGTTTGATATAGATATCGAGACTACTTATTGGAAAAATTTATATTAGCTAAAAAGCTCGGCAGCCCGAGCTTTTTTAGAATCGACCCGGCCCATGATTTTTTCATCGAACTGTATCACTAGTATTTATCACCACACAAATAATGTATTTTGTAACCTGTGACCACGTGTCATTGGGGTATTTCTAGTGATGTGCCATTTACGTAGATATGTATAGTTCTTTTCTGGCATCTGATTGGCTGGAACAAGTGATCGGCAAAAATTTTAGCGAACAGTACTATACGTACTGTACGCGGCACATCACTAGCTAGGTATTTCATTAGGTAGCTGCACGACATTGTCGTGCAAAACCAGGAACGGAAATTATATTTTGGTAATTTTTTTTACAAAGTAAACTTTTTTATAAATAAGCTTATAGTAATTTATTTATATTTGTATTGTCTAAACGGTGATCACATTTTGAACAACCCACTATTTCTTTCATTTTCTTGGTTATTCATATAATAGTTAGTTCAAAGGTCTGAAATAAAAGAAATCATGTATAGAAAATATAAAAAAATTTTTTTTAATTTTTTTTAAAAAAATTGCATTAGGTTCGATGTATGTTACGTTTTAATTGGATAAACTTTACACTTATGTACGCATGTACATACGTTAATTTTTAATCGACATCTTTTGAAAGTGACGTTTAAGATTCAAAAATCTATAAAGTGATTGATCTTACAGAATTACGAATTCACGCATAATATATGAAATAAGGTAGCTGCACGACATCATCGCGCAAAACTAGGAACGGGAAAGTATCTAGATATTAAGTAGTTTAAAATTTTAAGTTAATCTGATTCTGTATTTTGCGATATTTGATCTGACATATTAAATTTAGAACATGTACACAATTAGGGCTGTTAGTCAGTTTGACTAAAACCCGGTCTTGCATTCTGTCTTAGGACTTAGCCAGTCTTGTTTTTGTAGACGGACCAAAAAAAACTATCAGTCTCAATATTGCAAAAAATTATTGTACGAACATATATAGCCTAATTTTTTGTAATTTGTTGGGTTTAGATTATGTGCACTATTATAATATAGTACAAGTGTAAGTATTGCACAATGCAACTTAAGTTCAGATAAGACTAAAATTTATTATCATTGTATATAAATTTCAGAAAATCAAGTTATAAGAATCATAATCAGCACGAATAAGAAATTAATAATAGATACATAGATTAATTCAAATATTTCGATTAACAAATAATATTGACTGAATCGACTTGAATAAAAGATTGTTTATCGACCAAATCAATATGGACAATAAACTAATAAAACTAATAAGTGCATACATTATTTTCGAATACTTTGATTAGCAAATTATTTCATACTTACCGGATAAATTTATAACCTAAATAAGTGACTTAATGAGGAATTGCAGATAATCTTCCCGAGATGGAATAACTTAAAGAGCAACAAAAATTTTTTAACATATTTTATATTATAATTACAGACTAATTTAATATAACTTAATTACACTAACTATTATGATTATCGTCGACTAAATGAAATAAGGAATCAAATTAAAGTGAAATGAGGGCCCGAAGGGCCCTTCATTTACGGTGGATCATATCATTTGTAGTAGTGAATTCTTTTCTTTTTTTTCTTTTGATTTACAAATTTACATCTTCATACTATTAAGGTTTTATTATAATGCCTTACACAGACTTGATTTTAACATATGAAATACCCCAATGGCACGTGGTCACAGGTTACAAAATACATATTTGTGTGTTGATAAGTACAACATTTATTACTTAATTTTCTGATGTAATACTTATTATTCTTTATATAAATTTAATATAAATTGTAAGAATTACACGGATATTTTTAAACATGCTCGTACAACATAGCATTATTAACCGCACCAGGATGTAGGTGAGATTTCCGATCACGTGATACCCGACCTTATCCGACCCGGCCCGGCCCGACCCAACCCCAAAATCGATTATAAATTTTATAATATACAGTATATATATTATGTATATTTTTATTAACTATGAACCTGTATATAGCAAAGATTTATAGACTTTAAATCAACATCGTTTTGATAACAATTTTCAAGATCAGTCGTTCCATTAAAAATTCTGTATCAGCAGATTTTTATAACAAATGTTCTTTCTTTTTAACTCCAATCTATCTAAAAAACAAATATCCGATGTTATACAGTATGCTCAACTAATACCACCCATTAGGGGTTTTAGAATTAACTTTTTAAAAATAAGTGGAAGTTTGCGTAGCTGATAAAATTGTTTTTTTATTAAACATTCACTGGCAAGCGATCATGCAAATAAGTATATTAAAAAAATAAAATTTGTACATCACTTTTTTCGAAATATATATGTCACATTTTATCTAAAATCGGACATCGAATTATTAATTTTGAAACCTCATAATCTAGAAAAAAAGAATAGATAACGAATAATTTAATTTATATGTATTGAATAAATGATATTTATTCTCATTAAATTAATACGAATCAAGTAAATTAATAACTGACCTAATTGAACAATATTCATGAGCTTGAATAATTTAGTTACAAAATACTTATCATTAAATTAACACGGATAAAATAGAATCATAATTGAAATAACGCATGGAAATGTTATAAAATTGATAAATAGTTTATTAATTAGTGTGGATATTGTGTAATATAGTAATAACAAATCACGACACCTTATGATATTGTACTTACCAATAGTAAATAAGTAGGTGAGGTATAAATATTCATCATATCAAAAATCTCGATCTCTATATGAATATAATACATAAACTGATAGCACGTTGAAAATAAATTGTTTAAATTATCAACCTCAATAAACTGAAAGATATAGAATTTTCAACCTTTTTGATAAAAATAATATGCCAAGAACAGCATAACAGGTATTAAAATAAGACTCAAGTTAAATCTAAAGTAATTGTCGCAGTGCTACGCGGTACCCATGTAACTAGTGATCAGGTACATGTTGATCGAATGTTATGATCTAATTGATACCTAATATATCAGATGATCACGATTTAATTAAAAGTCTAAAAAAGTGATTGCATTAACAATGTAGTTAGTAGCGATTAGTAAGAATAGATTTCATGAACAATATAGTAATCAATAGCAATTAGTAATAATATATAAAGGCATCGATCCAAATGAGGAAGTGCTAAAACTTTGGTTCCTGATATATCTTTAAATTATTCTTAGTTAATAAACTGTTTTATTTGTGTGAATACATTATCAGTGGTAGTATCTGATAAGATACTCCAATCATCTATATTAGTCAAGCAAGAAAAACTGACAGTAATAAATAACATTAATAATGGACATAGATAATTTGAAATTGTGCACAAGTTATCTCCGAAAGCCATTATTTATAAAGGCAAATCTTACAAGACCTGTTCAAACTGCTTAATTGCAAAA